CCTACTACACTGCAGCTTTCATGAAACGTCACTCAAGCTGGTGGGCCTTTTGATGATGAGCAGCTTACCCATGCTCCTGTAATAACCCTAATAAACTCACTGGCTCACCAAGCTAGACCTGGGTGCAGTCCTTTAGTCTGTCATCAGTGCCCTGTCTGGGGTCAGGTCTCCTCAAAAAAAAATCCTACAACTACCAAGAGTAAAGAAGGCCTGCAAACCCTCAAGGATGGCATTAGAACCAGGGTGAAGTAGGTCTTTCCTACAGGAGACATGCACTCTACAAGGTGAAGAACTGTCTGCTGCCAGCCCTGGAGAGCAGGAAAATGTCTGTGCCATGGGAAACTCAAACTCACACTATCGGGGAAAGTTGTGACTTTGGGTGGATTTGGAGCCCATGACCCTTATGGTTATGTGCTCATTTACCACTCACCCACAGTTTGTAAGTAATTTGTCATTAATATACTTGCTAAGCACACTTGCAAGTCATTAGAAGCCATTTCAGGTGGGGCCCAGAGGAATCTGAGAGAAACAAGATGGAGCCGCTGTAGAGCCAAGAAGTCCAAGTACAATAGCCCACCATTTGGGAAAACTACAAAATTGTCCTGATCTGTTACACAAAGTAGACTCCCATGGATATGGTCTATCCATGACACCCAAGCCTACAGACCAAAATCTGGTCTCCCCATGCACTCGTCGTAAGACTTTTACAAATCTCATGGCCTTTCTGAGCTTCAAAGATTTTACTCCGACTGCAGGAGTGGTGATGTGATGGCCATGTGCTAAGACTGATGTATCCAATGAGACCATCTGAGTAGAAGGGCTACCACAAAGCTATCCAACAAATGCCAGTTCTCCACTATCCAGTGTCCTCCAAACAGAGGCTGCCTCCATTTCTCCTCTCATTGTCATTATTGGTGTTTGTGCAGAAAAGCAATTAGATAAATACAGAATCAGTGGGCCAGCTGTGAAGCTCTCCTGTCTCTAAGCAAGATGCCCAGACCTGCACAGACTGGTTGGTGGCTTCCACAGAGAAGTCCCATGCAACAGAAGTTGGAAAAAATCAATTGTTCCCCTTCATGGAGTCTGAAAAGTTTATTGACTTGTTCTCCTGAGAAATTTATGGTGCAACCAGTTAAGAATTACAACAGCAGGGGCTGGAGAGATGGCTCAGCAGTTCATAGCACCGGCAGGTCTTACAGAGGACTGGAGTTCAGCTCCCAGCACCCACATGGCAGCTAACAACCACCTGTACTCCAGTTCCAGAGAATTGGGCACCTTCTTCTGGCCTCTGCAGTCATTGTGCGACATGAATGTGCTTACACATATGCAGACCATATCCTCATGCAAATAACATTAAAGAATAAAATAAAAGCTTAAGAAAAAGAATTGCAGCAGCAGAGACCCCCTTCCTTTGAAGGGCCCATGGACTCCCAGCAATATCTTGTCTTGCTACACACTGGGATCCCCTGTGGCATTCGACAGGCCCACCCTTGGGTCTTCATCCCTCCTTTGTGACCACATACTGAAAACCAAGCTGTATTATTCTTAAGAATGGACTAGAAGAGAGCTGAAGGACTTCCCAAATGGTGATGAGAGAGCACGAACTGAGAAAGGTCTCCCATTCCCTCCTCAGAGGCAAAAATGGAGCAGAAGGTTCTGGGGCTTTGCCTTCCAGCTGTACGAATTCCCTGAGGTCTACACAGGCAGAGTGGGCAGCAGGGTCTGGGCAGTCTGCAGTAAAAGAAGGCATGTTACTGAGTGCTGTGGTGTCACATGGTGGGTGTATAGAGATCAACCCATTTTCACAGTATTTGGTTCTTTGCATGTGTGGGGTGATCATTCAGAACAGGAGTACCTAGGGTGGGGATGGCTTAAAACCAAAGCTCATTCAAAATACAATAAACAGCATGTCAGATGCATCCTGCTCTGGGGCCCCAAACTACCCATACAGGCCTTTTCTGTTTTTTTCCATCTCCAATCTCTGTGAGACACATCCTAACTCCCCAGAGGTCTTAAGGGCAGTGCTGTACTGGGAGTATCTGAAGCTAGCTCCCCATCTGTTACATGCCCTTTGTGGAGCAGCTGCTGACCGTCCCTGTACCTCAGGACAGAAAAGGACTTCCTATCTTGGTTTTCAGGAGCCCTTGCTTCTGCAAAAGAGCCTTAAGGAAGGTTCCATGAGGCTGCCTCTGGTGAGGAGGTTTTCTCAGGTGCCTCCAAACATAAGCAGTCTCTTGGGTGTGCCCTTTAAGTGTGTTATGTGAAGGACAGAAGATCCAGTGGTGAAATGTTGTGCCAGGAAGGCTGAAAGACATTTAACATGCTCAGTGTCTCCATCTTCTGCTGAGAGAGATTTAACACACTCAGTGTCCTCTTCCCCCTAGAGGACCACATGAATGCTCCTGCTTCTGACAGCAGGGGAAAGGAGGGTGGTTTGGGGGCGGGCTCCCAGTCAGTCCCCTGTCCTGTTTTTGCTTTCTTTTGGGTCTCTAGGATGGGGTGAAGCTGTCACCTTCACAAAGGGCACAGGGGAGACACTGCCATGTCCCTCCCTTTTGCATTATTACTCATTTTTCACTCTGGGTTTCTCTTCCCCAGCTCAGAATTTCAAGAGGCTGTGCTCCTTAGAGCCACCTGGAGCTCACACCCTCCGCAACCACCCCATCATCCAAAACAGCAGCTCATGTGTGCCATTGGAGCCATGAAATTGAAGAAGCCAGCTTGGGAATAGTAGCCACGTGGCCATGTTCCCTTAAGCCCTCCTCCATTCCTGGCTTTGAGAGACTCCATCTGGCCGGCTGTGTGGTGATGGCAATGGTCACTGGGGGAAAATGCCCCAGGCCCCTGAGGTTACCATGTCCCTTAGGAAGCAGAATCTTCCTAGATGTCCCCTGAGTGCTCCAAGGTTTCCTGTTGCTGTTAGAGATCCCCGTGTTGTGCTCCAGGGACCACGGCACAGCCCCAAGAGACAGGAAAGTGCCTTGACCCAGAGCCTAAGAGCTGAGGCTTATAGGCTGCTGGGCAGCTGGGGGTGCCAAGGCAAGGCAGTGTATAGAAACATGAAAAGAAAAGGGATGGACCCCTTCTGAGGACCCCATATAAGGCTGTGTTCTTTCTCTGCATTGAACTACCTAGCCAAGGGGGTCATGTAGAAGCTGACCTTTGCCCAGAGGGAGGGTTTCCATTTCCCTCTTTTATAAGTTATGCTTGGGGACTATTCAGCCTTCACCCTCCTAAGGGGTGCTTTTTCCAGATCTACATAGAAATCCTGCTTAGGGTTGGTGGATCAGCTGGCAGCTCCTTCTTTCTGTGCCTCCTCTGTCCTGTTTCTTGGGCTCTGTGTCTTTTAGTAGAGGCATGCTTGCTCACTTTTCACTCAGGGCTGCTCACTGGAAAGGGCTTCTGCTAACCAAGGCTAGGCTCCGCATGCTGCTCTCAAATCAGAGGCATAGGAAGTCCTGGAAGGTGAATGGCACAGACTGGTGTAAGGTATAAGCTGACACACCTTCTGAAAAATTCTGCCCTACCTTCCCCCCAACCCCCACCATCACATGGCATAGCACCCACTCATCCTATTGCTTGCCCATTTCTGACAACACAGAGGAGAAACAGAAAAAAAGTACTCTCCCCCTGCTCTCCGGGAACTCTGCATTGTGAGAATGCCATGTTGGTGGGAGGGAGAGAGGTGATGTTGGCGGGTAAGACACCCAGAGCCTAAAAATTCAAGGGCCAAAAACTCCAATGAGAATTGCTCCTGGTTTGTATTAGCCAGGGGTTGTTGTGTTTGGTTAGGCCCTTCCACCTCCGTGTTTACATCTGTAAGATGTAGCCCAAACCAACCTCATCTCCCATGGATGCTGAGCTGAGCTGATACTAGAACAAACCATGGATGGCATCATTAAAGCTCTGCTGATAGCCATCTCCTCGTTGGAACAGCCCCACTTTCAAAAAGTAGAGCCGTAATTCTTGTGTCTCAAAGAGTCACCCTGCATATATAAATAGGAGGACCCTGGATTAAGAGTTTGTCTTTGGGCGGGGGCTGTGGAGTAGCTGAAGATTGCCAAGTGTCGGAATGAACCTGCTGCCCTCTCCTGTTTCCTTCAGAGGTAGAAAGTTTTGTCTCCTGATACTGGTTCCCTCTTAGGCCAGCATTTCCCTCTTAACCCAGGCAGCAGCCAGGGGTCCCGAGGGTGGGGATGAGCCAGGTCTACTATGTGGCACTGGAGACCTCAGTGTGGGATTCTAGCCTCTGTTTTGGTACCACATGCCAAACAGTGGCTCCTTGGTCCAGCTCAGCACCAGGTTATCTTCCCTGAAATTCTGCTGTCTTGTCATCCCAGCTGGGTGGGTGAGTTATGATTTTTTTGTCATTTGACATTAAGAAGAAAATGAGGAAGGCAGAAGATTCCAGTGTGAGGAAAGCCTGTTCAGAAGCCTCTGCCAGGGTAAAGGAGCAGAGAGCACTCTGGAACAATTCCCTAGCAAAGGGGACACATGTAGGAATGCTCCTTTCTTGCATAGAACAGAGCCATAAAAGATGTGAGGCCTTTGAGGATGATCCCATTGGCCACCTGACTCCAGGATTCAAGAGAAGAGTGTTCAGGGCATGACCACTGAGCTGGTCATCATGAGTTTCCACTGCCCGGATGTAGCAGCATGGTGGCAGGTAAGATTCCACCTATTTGACCGAAGGACCACATTAGGCACATATGCAGGGCTTTGCTAAAAATATCCAACACCAGCCGGGTGTGGTGGTACATGCCTTCAATCCTAACACTTGGGAGGCAAAGGTAGGTGGATCTCTGTGAGATCAAGACCAGCCTGGTCTCCATAGCGAGTTCCAGGGCAGCTGTGGTACAGGGAGACCCTGTCTCAAAAAGACCAGTATATCTATATCATCTCTATCTATAGCATCTATAGCATCTATCTATATATTTATCTATATCTATCTATATCTACATATATATTCAACAAGGACAAGGTTTCTCTTTCATGCTTACCCTTGTGATCTGCTAGCGTTTTAGCTCTCCCCATGATTTCATCCTCTGTGGCATTCAAGTTCTGGATCAGAAAGTATGTGGTCATTTTTCCTTTACCCTTCACCTCAATTTCACCTCTTTCAACAATTTCAAACCCTTGATTTTCCAAGGCTCTATACAAAGAAAAGAAAAATGGCCAGACATCAAAGATCACAGAATTGGCTTTGGTGTGAAAGTTAATGCAAGGGAGATGGAGAGATGGCTCAGCGGTTAAGAGCACTGACTGCTCTTGCAGTCTGCATGTGGGTTCAATTCCCAGCACCCACATGGTGGCAACGAACTGTCCTTAACTCCAGTTCCAGGGACTCCAAAGCCCTCTTCTGACTTCTGCAGCATTGCACAACACAGGTGCACTCATACACATTCAGGCAATACACTCGTACACATAAAATTTTTTTAAAAAAGGAAAGTTAATGCAAGAAGGTAAGTCCTGGATCCAGGACACAGAGCAGAGGAGGAGGGAGGCTCTGAGATGATGTGTAGAGCCTGTGGGGGATGGAGGGTAGGGGAGCCAATGGGAAGAAGGAAGGCAGGATGAGTGAACATTCTGAGCAGGGTTCCAAAGGCTAAGAGAAGCCACAGGGACCTCTACAAACCTAGACCCCAAAGTTCTCCAAAATGTTTCTTGTACCTGGAGCACTCCTGTTTCTACTGTACTGCTTGGCATTTATTACTACTACCCCAGTTTTGTCTAACTTCTCCTCTGGAACCCCTTGTTCAAGATTCAGGCTGGGCATCTCCTAAAAGCCTTCCTTTCTGGAGCCAGGACCCCTGCCTGTTTTCTCATGGCCTATTGGCTAAGTCCCCTGGCAGAAAAGCAGAGCAGTTAGAGTGGGGAGTCTGAACCTCACCCCTGGCTCTTCTCTTTTCTGGTCTGCTTGGAGCTGAGGCAAGCTAGGAAGCATTTTGTGTTTTGTTTGTAAATAAGAGCAATGGTAGTGTATCTTCATGGAGTTATTCAACAACAGATGCATTAACCAATGTGAAAGAACTTAGAGCTGAATGTGGCTCAAGAAACAGTGTCATTTTGTATACATCTGTGTCTTTGTACTTACTCTATTTAAAAAATAATTATGAACTTTCTTTCTTCCTCCACTAGACCAATATTCTCTGGGAAGGACCAAAGAGTAAATATTTCAGGCATTGTGAGTCATACAATCTCCAGCACAAAATTACTCAACTCTGCTACTTGCCAAGACATCAACTGTACACAATGAAATGAATACACAACGAACTGTACACAATGAAGTATTGTGTCCCAATAAACCTTTATTTTCAAGAGTAAGCAACAGATTAGATTTGGCCTATGGACTATAATCTGTTGTTCTGTGTACTAACTCATATGCTCCTATAGAGAAAATGATGTTACATAATTTTCAATATTTATGGCCTGTGTAAGTCAGTGAGACATACGCTTCCTTTACTATCCTGCCCCATGCTGCTGAATATTAAGGTAGTTCTGGAAAGAGGTAGAAAAGGAAAGCAAGTATAAATGAGTGGCTAACCTGTAGGTTGTGGGGCTGAGATGTACTTTGTTGGGAAGCCCATGACTTTCCATCCTAGAGGCTGTGTTTACAGTATCACCAAACAAGCAGTATCGGGGCATCTTGTCTCCCACGACACCTGCTAAGACTGGTCCAGTATGGATCCCCACTCTGATCTGCACAGAGAGAAGTTCACTGAAAAGAGATGATCAAGTCCTCTTGCTTTTTATTTTTAAGGAATAATTTACATAAAATGAAATATTAAAGTGGTTAGCTCCATGAATTTTGACAGGTGTGTTATGTCCCCTCAACCACTTTCTGAAACAACAGTTCCATTACTTTGCAAAACTCTCTCGTGCCCCTTGCTCCTTAAGTTCACCCAACATGTTTTGTGGCTATTTCCTACAAATTAAAATACTCCTTGGAGGAGTAGGGGCATCAGTAAGACTCAGGAAGCTAATGGAATTTACAAGACTCAAGAAGCTGGGAAAGGGTCTGGAGAGATGGCTCAGCAGTTAAGAACACTGGCTGCCCTTGCAGAGGACCCAGGTTTGGTTCCCAGCACCCACATGGTGGCTAACAATCATCTATAATTCCAGTTCCAGGGACTCTGATGTGCTCTTCTGACCTCCATGGGCACTGCACAACATAGTTGCACTTACACACATGCAGGCACTATACTCATACACATAAAATAAAAACAATAAGTATTTTAAAAAGAAGCTGGGGGACTGGAGAGATGGCTCAGCAGTTAAGAACACTGGCTGTTCTTGCAGAAGACCTGGGTTCGAATCCCAGCACCCACATGGCAGCTAACAACTGTCCTAACTCCAGTTCCAGGGGATCTGACAGCCTCTCCTGTCCCATTGAACGACATGGGTGCACTTACCTACATGCAGGCAATACACGCATACACATAAAATACAAATAATAAATAAATATTTTTTAAAAAGAAGCTGGGAAAGTTAGAAGATTCTTAAGGCCTCTCCTCAAGGTTATGCACCTAGTCAACAATTACTGGGGAGTGTAGACTCTGGAGTCTGCAAATTGGAGCTCCAGGGAGACAGCTGTAATGAAGCTCATGTTGTAGCTGCTTGTTAGTAACCCCAATAAACTCATTGATTGGTTCCCTAAACTGGGCTTGGGTGGAATTACTTTTTTGTTTGGCATTGGTGCCCTTCACAGAATAAATAGACATTTGTGCATATCTCCCAGGAAAAGTCAAACAACTCTATCATAACTCCAAAAGAGATTACTGCTTTCTTACTTCTTGTATCAAAGATTAATTTGCCACTTCTAGAACACTGAGTAAATGAAATCAGATAGTATATGCCACTTTATCTGATAGTATATGCCACTTTACTCAATATACTATTTTCAAAATTCATTTGCATTGTTATGTACATCCATAGTTCATTATTTTGTTGCTAAACAGTAAGAGTACCCACAATTCCTTCACCCATTCTCTTCTTGTGGACACTTAGGTCCTTTCTGGTTTAGAGCTATGCTAAGTAAGGCACTAACAGCCTGCAGAGATATTTTTGTGGATATATGTTTTGATTCCTTTCAGGTAAGATATTTAAAAATGAAATTCTACTTCTGTATCATAAAATAGATACATATTTAATTTTTAGCAAAGCAAATCAAAACTGCCCCACAATTCTCCTACCATTGCTACCAAATCATTTTCAGCATAATTTTATCTTCCAGTGGTATGGCCTTAATTTGCCTTTTCCTAATGGCTAGTCATGTTAAGTATATTTTCACACACATATTATCCACTTAAATAGCTCCTTTTGTGAAAAATTTCAAGTTTTTCTGACCACTTAAAAATGTGTTGTTTATATTTTACTTATATTTTATTGCTTTATATTTTATTGTTAATGCATATGAGTCATATATATTTATATATTTGGATACATGAGATCTCTTAGTCTATGAGTTTGTATTCACTTTTTTAATAAGAAGAAAATTTAAATTTTATTGAATATATGAGTCTATTGAGAGTGTCATAATAATACAACACAGACTGGGTGGCTTTAAACAACAAAAATTTCTATTCTCATAAGTCTGGAAGCTGGAAGTCTGAATTCCAAGTGTAAGCAGATTGGGTTTCTCTTAAAACCCTCTCCGGAACTGTCAGATGACCCTTTTCACTGCATCTTCACATGGCCTGCCCACAGTGTGGGGTCAGTCCTGGTATCACTCAGTGTGTTCTAATTTCCTTCTCTTAGAAACACACCAGATTTGATAGTGACCACCCTTAAGGTTTCATTTTAACTTCTCTCTTTAAAGGCCCTAACTCTAAACAGAGTCACATTTTGAGGTACTAAGGTTTAGGACTTCAACAGATGAATTTGGGGAGATATGACTTGCCTATAACAATAAAACACACCTTTTCCTCCTTTCATGTCACTGCCTTTGTGCTCTCTCTGAGAAACTATTAACCTGTAAGTCATGAACCTATTTCTTGTGTTTCTAACTAGAAGCTTTACGAATCCAGCTTTTATGATTAGATCCATGATACAAACCAAATTAGTTTTGGCATACTGAAGTAGAATTTTTTTTCTTTCCATATGTTATTCAGTTGTAGCAGAACCATTTCCTTTAAAAAGGCTGCTTTTCCTGCTCAACTAGTTTGGTGACTTGTAAATCAATTGCGCTTCAATGTGTAGACTAGCCAGGGCTCTGTACAGCTCCGGGGACCCATCTATCCCTCTGCCAATTCCATTCTGAATCTATCATTGTAGATTGAGAGTACATTTTGGATTGAGGCAATGTAAGTCTTCCAACTTTTTACTTTTCAATACTGTTTGAGTTACTCTGGGATCTTTATGTTTCCGTCTACATTTCAATAGTATCAAAGAAGCCTGCTGGGACTCTTTGACCAGTGTTCTGCTGATTTGTACATCACATTAGTGGTTGTGAATGGCTTACCCACACTGGGTTTTCCAGTCACAAGCACGGTACATCTTTCCCTTTAATTAGGTTTCCTTTCATTTCCTCTAAGAAATCTTTCATAGTTTTCAGCAGAGGACACATGCATCTTTTGTTAAATCTATTTTCAGGAATTTAAATAGTTCAGTTTTGCTTTTATTTTGTTTTCCATCTTTCTAGCCTTATCACATAGAAGTCCAAATACTTTTGGTCATTCTGTGACCTTGTTAGCTTCATTATTAGAGCTCATAGTTTTCCATAGTTTGTATCAGATCTCCTAGATGCAACATTATTTGATCTGTGAATAGTGATAATATTACTGCTTCCTTTTCAACCTTTATGTCATGTATTTGTCTGTCTTGTCTAGTTGTCCTAGTATGGCTTTTGGAATACTCTGACTAGAAATTACTGTATTTGTTTTACTGTGGGTTTTACTAAGCTCTTGAATATGTGGGTTAACATCCTTCATCACTGATGGAATTCTCAGCCATATCTCTTCAAATATGTCTTCTGACCTTGGCTTTCTCTATCCCACATCTGTCCAGATCTAGGATGTCCTGGCCCATTTTCCCCTTTGTATTTCAGTTTGGATAATTTGTATTGCTATGCCTTCAAATCCCCTGATCTTTTCCTCTGTTGTGTTCAATCTCTGTTAAATCACAAAATAAATTATATACCTCAACTGACAATATAATTGTAGTTTCTTTTTAACATAGATATAAATAAATAGATACAGATACAAATAGATACAGATACAGACACAGACACAGATATAAACAGATGTGGCATACAGCCATTTCCTACATATTCTCATTTGTTTTTCCTTTTTTCACTAGTAAATTCTTCAAAAAATATTTAGTGGAGCTGGCAAGATGGCTCAGTGGGTAAAGGCACCTGCCTGCCAAACCTGACAACTTAAGTTTGATCCCTGAAACCACACTGTGGAAGAAGAAAACCAATGCCCACAAGTTGTCTGTGACTTCCACATGTGCACTGTAGCATATGTACACAAATAAATAATAAAAATACTTATCAGTTTATGTGAGTATGTGTGTGGATTTGTTGTTGTTGTTGTTGTTGTTGTTGTTGTTGTTGTTGTTTTTGAGACAGAGTCTCCCTGAAGCCCCAGCTGGCCTGGAACTTACTATGTAGACCAGGTTGGCCTCGATCTCACAGAGATCCACCTGCCTGTCTCCTGAGAGCTGGGATTAGAGGTCTGTGTCACCATGCCTGGCTACTTATCAGTTATTTTAAAGACACTCCCTGATATTTCCCACACCCAGTCCATTTTACTTGCTTTTATTGACTATTTTAGCTATTAGATCTAAACAACATTACCATTTTCTTGTTTCCTCTTTCATCTCATATTTTAGGTTATTGAATTTTATACCCTATGTGTGAAAAGGGCCAAAGTAGATAATATTTAGCTGTTGGAAAAGATTATACCCTTTGTCGTACAGGACTATCCTCCAAACCCAATAGCCATCATCTTCGTAAATGCAGCTGTCAGCTTGCAGAAGATCATTACAGGTGCGCTTGTTGACTATTGACCTTCCCTCATAGAAGGAAGGGACAAGGGGGACCATTGGACATTCCCTTGAGTTTCCAGTCACTTCTCTACATCATTTGCATGCAGTTTTACCCTAATTGCACACAGTCTCAGGTCTCAGAGAGGAGCTAGAGTATACAGGCTGAGGAGGACTGGAGGAAAAGAGGATTCATCTACACAGCCATAGGGACATTATCATCCATGTTGGGTGAGGACTTTCCAGTGTGGCTCTTTTGGGGTTGTCCACATTCCTGTCAGTAACCCTCATTCATGCTCTATAGGGAAGCCCAGTAAACTCATTGGTTTCCCATGAGGAACTTTGGTGGATTCAGGCATTGTTTTGTCACTGGTACCTTAGAAGGAGGGAAGATTTCTGCCCACCATTGCTCCTTGGCCTAGACTTCAAAGAGTCATTGCTATCATTTAGCAAAAGCCAATAGTTCTGACAGGAGTTTCTCTCTTTACTCTTTCTCTAGCACTGGTCCTGTGGAACAACAACCTTACAGTTTAGGAAGGGCCCACACACCTCTGGGATTGGAGCTCTCTGTTCACTTCCCCTGACCCTAGGCTTTAGCCAAACAACTCTTTGCACTGGGTAAAAGCCTGCGGAAGAGTTTTTGGATGAGTACAGGCTCTGGTAGGGACTCTAACCTAAGGAATGGAGACCAGACACTGACCTATCATTCTAGCTCCCATATAATCATGAAAATCTCACTAAACTTTAGCCTGCTGGCTCTCTACACTCACCTCTGGTAGACTGCTTTTCCTGCTGCTCTACCAGGAATGAATATAATTACCGGTGTCTTCTTGAAAAGAAGAGTTACTTCTTAGAATTTAGTTGTTATGTTTCTTTGCACTCTGGTTTGTGGGGGGGGGGACTGCTAGAATGGTAACATTTCTTGTGGCTTTCTATATTATAACTAGACCTTTGTGTCCTTTCCTATCAGATTTTTCTTCTTGAAATAATATTAGAAATTCTTTTAAGTGGGGCCAGAGAGATGGCTCAGTGGTTAAGAGCATTGGCTGCTCTTGAAGAGGGTCTGGGTTCAGTTCCCAGCATCCACATGGTGGCTAACAACCATCTGTAGCTCCAGTTCCAGGGGATCCAACACCCTTTTCTGACCCTGTGGGCATTGCATGACATATGTGTACTTACATACATGCAGAAAATACACTCATATATATAAACTAAAAATAATAAATAAAATACTTTAAAAAAGAAATTCTCTAGTACTTTCACAGATCCTCCCTTAGTGGGGCTAGGATTTGGTAACTGGTGCTGAGAGAAAACCCTTGATTATGTCCTTGCCCTGATACTGTACCAATGGCATCTGTCTCTCAAGGGAACAGAGATGATTTTTTTTTAAAAAAAGAAATTCTTTTAAGAAATGGGCCTGCCACTACATCTTTGAATACTTCAAAGCACTTAGTGATGCTCTCTTGTGCATATGAGGATCTCATTAGATGTATCTTAAATAATATATGAATAAAAGATTAGAAGGTCTCAATAGATGTTACTTTTAAAACTGCAGAAATTGTGAAATTTTCTTAGAGAAAATGTTTCCAGTCCTTATTCTTATATCCTTAAATAAACCATGTACAGAGCTGTTTCAGGAGGATATTTAGTAATGTTCCTAAGTGTGAACCTGATCTTACCCTGGACTCACTCTGTCTTTTCCCAGTTGCTTTTGCTTTTGGAAAATCTACCTTGAGAATTTCCAGGAATTCTCTATTTCTTTTAATTTTTATTGGTATAATAGGAGTCTCATCTCAGTTGCTAACACACACACACACACACACACACACACACACCCCACATACCACACACCACACCACACACACCATACAAAGTAATTCCGTGACTTACTTTGGTATCCTTTAAATAAATCATTCCCCTCTTTTCTCTTCTCTCTGCTCCCTTTACCACCTCCTGTCCTTAGAGTTTTATTGAACAGATTCACACTGTTTCTAATGAGCCAAGGACTGTGGATGCTTTGTGCTTGTGATAGCCTAAGCAACTTTGGCTTAGATGACACTGATCAAGACCTTTCACTGTTTCTCGGTCCCCAAATCACTGTGATGAGAGCAGGTAGGCATGTTTCAGAATCTCCTGCAAAAGGGTTACACCTTGGAAAAATCATACTCTATTTTATAACTGGTTTTATTTCCAATAAGGTTTGTAGTTTGGATGTTGACTCACATAGGCAGAGATGAGATCTAGACATACAAGGTCAGAGTCACCTCTCTCAGCCATCTCTGCAGATGTGGGGGGAGAATCTGCTCAAATGGTAGAAGAGGATATTTCACTTATGTCTCCCAAACTGCGCAACTTTATCATGTGAGTAAGAGCCTGTGCTTTGGAACAGTAGCTTCTTGAGAGGCAGGCAAGCAGCTCTCCCTTAAGCTAACAGCCACATGGTGGAAGGAAAAACCTGTCTTCAGCATCTCAATGCCTGGGCTATTCACCCAACATGGCTTCACACTCTAGTTGAGCTCTGAGCTATCAGGATACCTGTTCCATACACATTTCCCCCAAGCAAAAAACACTGGCTGCTCAGTAAAACCCAGCCACCTCTTGTAACGCTTGAACAAAAAAAGCAGGAATTAAAAATGAGAAGTGTTCAGCATAGTCCTGAGTTACAGACAAAGGAGGGCTACAGTGAATCACAGGAAAATCTCATGAGCCACAGCCTCCTCTGAACTTTAGGAAGGTCAAGACTGAAATAGCTTTGTGAATACGCCTCTTCCTTAGGAGCACATGCAAGAGAAGAAAGTACTTTTGGTAGATGATGTATTTTAAAGGCTATAGGTACCTCAAAGACTAGAATTTCCCTTTTTGGTTAAGCAAAGTATTTGTTTGCTCCATACCTGGATGGGTTCTCCAGTGACAGGATTCATCACATCTTCTGCAGAAATTCTCATCCCCAAGGCAAAATTAGCTACTCTCTGAGCATGGTTTTCAACAGGCACTGGCACACCGCCTACCACCATGTATGCATCACCTATTGTTTCTACCTAACAGGACAAAAAAATATTCTGTGAGTTTCCCTCGTGTACCAATCAAATTACTAGAAAAGCCTGCTATTTTCCATCTATTGCCAACAAAATCTTTTTAAGCTGGCAATTCTTAGGGCTATGAGGAGCAAGGACAATGAGATACCCAAAAGTCTTTCTGCCTTTTCTAATTTATTTGTGTGTGTGTGTGTGTGTGTGTGTGTGTGTGTGTGTGTGTGTGTTAAGGATGGAACCCAAACCCAAAGTCTCACACAAGCTAGGAAAAAAGTTATCAAACCTCTATTGTACTTTTGGTGAAAATGAATCCCAGAGAAGATGAAGTTCCTGGGTAGTCATATGATACTGTTTCTTAGGTAATAGATACTTTGGATGAGATTTTTCTGATGAATTTAAGAACAGGAGACCATGATCTAGTGTGGTTGTTTACATGAGAAATGTCCCCAATAGGCTCAATTATCTGAACACTTGGTCAGTTGGTGCTGTTTGGGAGGGTCATGGGACCTTTAGGAGGTGTAGCCTTGCTGGAGGAACTACATCACTAGAGGTGGCTTTGAGTTCGTAGCTTTGCCTACTTCAGCTTTTCTCTTTGTTTCCTGTGCCTGTCTGAAGATGTGAGTGCTCAGCTTTCTACTCCAGCTGCCTCCAGCCATGCCTCCCTGCCATGATGGACTCAACCCTCTGCAATAAACTCAAATAAACTCTTCCTTCTGTAAGTTGCATTGGTCTCGGTGGTTTATCATACAAACAGAGGAGTAACCAATACACCTAGGAAAGCTGTATCTGCTTCTCAAGGTTCTCAAGTACCATCTGGGCATTAGGTATCAGAAAACAATTCTTAGGCAATTAAAATTCCTAAGACAGTTCTCATTCCATTTTAGTCCTTCAGACTGATAAAGGCAAAAGAAGGCTTAGAACCAAGTGCCTGTCTGCCCTGATCTGGAAGCAGACTGTACTAACCACATACTTACTTTGTAGACCTCGTGGATGTTGGTTAATCTGTCAAACTTGGAGTACATTGAGTTCAGCATAGTCACTATTTGGATAGGTTCACAGGCAGCACAGATGTTGGTAAATGTCACCACATCACTGAAAAGGATTGTACAGGACTCAAATTCTCCTGCAACAGAAACCATGTCAGGGTATAGAATAATAGTTATGAATTTTGAATTCAAGTGCCCTTTGAAGATCAAACCTGCCTGTGCCTTGAGGAAAAAGAAGCTAGATGCCATTCAGTGCCCCCCACACAGCCAGCAGATCTGAGCACATCTCTTGAGTCCCTGCTGTGAGGTAATCATCACTCCATGAGAACCATATATGGTGAAATAAACCGACAGGCGAAATAAACCGACAGGAGTGCCTGGTCTAATGATGTTGGTGGGTATAAGCGGAAATAAATGTTCCCAATGAGACGTGGCAAGTGCAGGAGGTTGATAGAAATGGACCATAGCAAGGGTACCAAGGCAGAACCTAAACTATAGGAACTACAGGCCTGGGTCAAGAAGAGCCTGTCTTTGTACAGTGGCATGGCTGACATGTTCTCCTCTCTCACTCCCTCTTCTACCATGTCCCCTACACACACTAATCTTGACGTGCATAGAGAAGTCCTGTTAAACTGGATTTACTTTTTTTACCTGAAAATCCTTCATGACTTCTACCACAATTGAAATAAGACCCCAAATCCTTACCATGCAAACAGGATCCTGCTCTGTCCTTACCACCTCTCTGACCTCATGTCTTAGCACCTTCCTCTGGCTTACTCCACTCCAGTCACACTGTCCTTCTTGGGGTTACCCCAGTGTGTTGAGTGCCTCCTGCCTTGGGGCCCGCACACCTGCGCTCTCCTCTACCTGATGAATGCTTCTCAAACATCCACAGGGCTCTTTCCTTCACATCTCGGTGAGAACTGAGATGGGAGACTGTCTGTGTGGGTATCTGCTGCATGCTTAGGATGTAGAGCAGGACTTGGCATGGGCAGATTCCCAACAGCTGTGTAGTGACTAAAGTGACTGCTGATGCCTTGAACACAGCTGGGTGTCTTATACCTCTGGTCTAACTCTTCTCCATGTGACTCTACCATCTTCTTCATATTATTCTCCCCCTTGTGATTTCGTTTTACATCTTGGCCTGGTTCCTTATCCTTCAGTATTAGCTATGTCTCTGCTCTTCTCACCTCATAGCCCCAGATGACCTTGTCCATCATTCATAGCATCATGATGAGCTATGACCCACAGTCCAAGAGCTCCCAGACCTATAGCTTCATGCTGGAACTTTCTCTCAATTTTTCATATAATTCCTAACCATCTGCTGCTCTTGTTACGTGGACTATCCAAACTATCTCCAACTCCATGGTTCTAGGCTGACCTGATTGCCCTTGCCCCAGGCCTACTCGTCTTTCTGTTTTATCCTGTGTGTGTGTGTGTGTGTGTGTGTGTGTATTACATGCATATGAGTGTGTGTATGTTACATGCATATGAGTGTGTGTGCATGTGTGTGTTACATGCATATGAGTGTGCGTGTATGTTTCTGGCAGAGTTATGCAAAGACCATAGGAAGGCAGTTAGTATCTTCCTCTGTAGCTCTCCATCTTATCACCTTGAGACAAAGTGTCTCACCAAACCAGAAGCTCACCTTTCGGCTAGGCTGGCTAGCCAGTAAGCTCCTGGCATCTGCCTGTCTCTATCTCCTTCTCCAACTCAAGCACACACAGTCATATCCAGCTCTTCATGTGGGTGCTGCAGGTTTGAATTTCACCCCTTATGTTTCCAGAGTAAATGCTCTTACCCACTAAGCCATCTCCCCAGCCCTATATTATATCTTGAGATAAACCATCACATCTTTCTATGCTGGCAATCTCAGAAACCTCATAGACTCTGTGTAGCAGGAGGCCTCCAAAGATGGCGTGGACCCAGAGCCCTGGGATTCAGGGAGAATTCACTTCACTTCTTGGTCTGCAAATAGCCCGCCAAAAGGAGCCCACACCTCCGTACCCTGTTTGCGAGCCCAGTGACTGCTGACAGACTGCGTGGCACGGACCAATCAGAAAACGATACGCTGACTAAAAGGACTTGGGGGCAGAGAAAAGGGAGATATAAGGCCTGCCCTCTACTGCATTAAACGAGCCTGCAGCACCTCGCCTAGTGCTTGCTTCTACCCGACTCCGGGGGTCTGTGTGTTGTGACTCCGCGCCTCTTGCCCCCCAATAGGCAGGGGACCCGATCCAAGTCAGGGTCTTCACAGCTGGCCTGAGGAGAACCCACAACAACTCTGTCCTTCTGTCCTTCCGCATCACATCAGGATGAAAGCCTGCCGGTTCCCCTTTACTCTGCCTTAGTACAGACCTTGATCCTCACTCAACTGCAACACAGTGAGCTCACAGTCTGCCTTCCTCCACTGCATCCTTTACACCACAGTCAGAATTGACACTTACTAAACTAACCATGCCAATTCCACTACAAGAAAAAAACCTTTAAGGGCAGAGAAATGGCTCAGAAGATAAGAGTGCTGTGCAATCTCAAGGACCTGAGTTCAAATTCCCAACACTTACATAAAAAGTTGGGTATGGCCACACATATGCCTGAGCATAGTGAGGGATGAAAACAGGAGGATGGTTGGGGCTTTCTGACTTCTATCCAGCCTACCTCTAATATTAGCAAGAGGCCCTGTCTCAAAAGAATAAGATGGAGAGTGATAGGGTACCACATGTAAGTCTCCCTTCCCAAACATCAATGAATCCCCGTTGCCTACAAAATAACAATTCCCTTTTCCATAATACTGCAGATCATCACTGCATCTCTGAAGCTTCCTTGTCTGTGCCCTGCTCTGGGAATACTACACTGCCACTGTCTAAAAACTCACATTCAAATGTCATTGCCTTTGCTCTTGCTATGCCACTTTTCTAAAATACCTTTCCCTTCTTTGCTTCCTCAAACTCCGCCTCAAGGCCATGACAGGTACCATACACTTTCCTGAAGTACACACCCAGTTTCCCCTGCCTCTTGTCTCTTTTACTCCCACACTTATTATTAACTTCCCCATCATCTGTGCTCCCCCAGTCCCTGGAATGAACCTATGGTGGAGACAATATGAATGCTGGTCCAAAGGAGTGACTGAGATTCATTTCTGGCTCATAAGTGTGGGTGGACATCAGTGTGTATAGCTGTGTAGAATGGGTAATGCCTCCTGTGATTCTCAATCATGCAAACTTGATGGGATTTAGAATCACCTCTGTGTTTGTGAGGGTGTTTCCATAGAGGTTTAACTGAGGAAGGAAGACTCACCCTACATGTGGGCAGCACCAGCCCATGGGCTGGAGTCCTGGACTGAATTAAAAGGGAGCAAGAAGAAATCCAGCTGACAGCAGCATTTATCGATCTCTGCTTCTGACTGTGGATGCAATTGGGCAGCTGCCACACCATCCTGACACCACGGCTTCCTCACCAAGATGGAGTGTACTGTCAAACTGGGAGCTAAAATAAATCCTTCTTCCCAAACTATCTAAAGATAGTCAAGTATTTGTCACAGCAATGAGAAAAAGTAGCTAATACACCTTCCTTATAGGAATGTTGAAGGAATGAAATAGAACAGCACAGGTACTATCTGACACAGACCCCTGCATAACAATTATTCCTGAATGTCCATTAGTTTGCTTTCCTGTGGCCAGTCCCACGCCATTCTTCCTGCATCTTTCTGCTGTGAACGCCATTGGGTGCCCCAGATCTGGCACAGCATGTGGCACGGAAGTTTACTAGACATGGTGAATGAATACACACAGAAGGTGAGTTCAGAGTAAGTACAGCATGCCTTCTTCTAGAACTAGCTAGTTTTTCTATAATGGTCCTCACAAACACCTCACAATTTAGCAAATATTTAGGCATATGACTTCCAGTTACAGTTAAGGAACCTACTCTTGATCATTGAGCCATAAGGTCAGCCTCAGGACACAGGCAATTCTTAGGGACCTTGATATGTGTGTGTTGATAAGCATTTTATCTAATACACTCCTCTCTGTGTTGTATTATTATTTTTTAAATATTTTGTTTAATATTTTATGTGTATGAGTGTATTGCCTACATGTATGTAAATGCACCTGTGTCATGCAATGCCCCTGGAGGTCAGAGGAGAGCATCAGATCCCCTGAAACTGGAGTTACAGATGACTGTTATCTGCCATGTGGGTGCTGGGAATCAAACCTGGGTCCTCTGCAAGAGCAGTCAGTGCTCTTAACTGCTGAATCATCTCTCCAGCCCCTCCTCTATTATTTTTATTATCCTCAGTTAGAGAAGAGAAATGGAGGAGATGCAGGTTAGCCACTAAGCTCAAGGTCATGTCACTTCTAAGTGATAAAGCCAGAATTCAACCCTAGATCTGTCTGGTGCAAAGCCCACATGGCTCACCGTGAATGCAATCTTCCCTGTAACTTCAAGGACCCTTGAAGGGAAGGGGTATCTTACCTGCAGCCACCTTCTGGCCATCCTTGAGCTGGTTGGCCACGTGTTCAGGTAGCATGGCATACAGCAAGGTCTCTGTCTTCTTCTTTTCGATAGCCAGGTGCTGGGAGAGGATGCGCAGCTCCTCCTTCTTCCTCTCTAGCTGGTTGGACAGCTCCATCTCTGCTAGCCGCTGCTGGTTGAGGAGGATAAGATCCCTGGTGGTGTCATGGGGGGCAATGTCTGAAAGATACATCTTGTTTTCCTCCAGTTCTTGCAGGCTGCGGAGCTTCGGAGAACATATGAAGATCATGCACTGCAGTGACTCCATCCATATCATCTGGCCTTCTCGTCACAGAGAGGAAAATGACAATATAGAATGTCTCCAACATGGGAAGGGAAGAACAGAGACAAGCATCACCAAGAAGCATCTACACTTTCTGCCTCCACTTACTCAGCTGCCACTCCGCACAGCAGCTCTCCCTAGACTGCTGTCCTGACCTTGAGGTGGCTCCTTCTTGTGGTTTACACAGGCAGACCCCAACCCCAGTGGCTCAGTTTTACTTTATTTTGCCCTTAAAGGTGAAAACCTGACTCTGACTCCTGAAATCTTGCTTCCTAGGACTTTCTGGCACTGATTTCTCTCTGAAGTTTCCCCCCACTTCTTTCAATTTCCTTTAGTATTTTTTAAAAAATTCATTCCTTAAATGTTCACATTCTCTAGGACTTTTTTTTCTCTGTTTTTCTTTCTTTAAAAATATTTATTTTATTTTTATTTATTTATGTGTGTGTATATATGTATGCACATGTGTACATGGGTGCCTGGGGAGGCCAGAAGAGGACAGTGTATCCACAGTAACTGGGCAATTACAAGCTATTGCAAATCGCCTAATGTGGGTATTGGCAACCGCACTGAACTAAAGTCCTCTGCAAGAGCAGCAAGCACTCTCTTAACTGTGGAGCCAACTTTCCAGTCTTTTTCTTTCTGTCTTCGAGACAGAATATCACTCTGTAGCCCAGGCTGGTCTTCTATTCAATGCAACCCTCCTGCTGGCATTGCAGGTAAAAGCCATCATACTTGGCTAGGTCTCCTCTAACACTATACAGCTGTTTCCTATGCCACAATGATAATGAATCTGAGTTCCCAGAGAAATCTTGCTTCCCAGACTCAAAAATGTTAATTTTTTAAAGAATAGAGAGGTTTGCTAATGCATTATAGAAGCAGTATCCATTTATTTCAGAAAGGGAAAAAGCAAAAGCAAATTGTGAAAGTCACTCACAATCATACTGCAGATATAGTGACTGTTAATATTCTGTATTACCAAAAGTGGGACTATCTGGTATCTTTTTGCAATTTGAATTTTTCACCTAAAATGTATTTCTGTGGTATTCAATATGGATATACATCGTAACTTTTTCTAGCTATATTGGCTGCACTGTTTTAATTTTTATTTTATTTTAAAAAATATCTCACTACCATTGCTTTCCTTACATAACATGATTACATTGAAAGACTTCGCATAATTTGGAGAATTTGAAAAAGGAGTGCAAGTAATAGGCTAGCAGTGATTACATTATTACCATTCTGTAAGCAACACTGCAATGAACAAGTTTAAGGACCTCTTTGTATATGATTGTGGCCATTTTGTTAAAGGATATACTCATCCTTACAGTATTACTTACACAAAAATGCTAATTCTTTTTTAAATGGTTATTTTTTATCATTTTAAATGATGTGTATAAGTGTGTGTCTATCTGTAGGTGTTTGCATGTGAGCACAAATGCTGGCAGGGGCCAGAGGCATCAGATCCCCTGGAACTGGAGTTACAGGCATTGTGAGCTGATGTGGGTTCTGGGAATGGAACCTGGGTCTTCTGAATGAGTAGTCCATGCTTTTAACCACTGAGCAATCTTTACAGTCCCAGAATATGCTAATTCTTAAGGCTTTTGAAACATACTTTGAAATTGCCCTCTAGTGTGTCTGTGACTGTTTGAATTTCCATCTTAGCAGTGTTTTTTTTTTTAATTTACTGCCCATTAGATGTTTATTTGTGCATATCTGCCACTGAACTCACTTTATACCTTCTCTGAAAATTTTCTCTTTATTTGTTGATTCTCTCATCACATAAGTATTAGGTACCTACTGTTAGCCAGACATACTGCTTTAGACATTAAAGAATACATTTGACTTAAACTGACAAAATCCTTGCCCTCAAGGACTTTAAGACTTTTCTCAGTTAACCACACCTTCCTCACTAGTTACCCAAAGATGCTAACAATTAGCCTGTGGTTTTCTCTTTCCAGCATCTCATCCAGTTACCAGATCCAGTTTTAATCATGCTGTGAATTTGTTTCCTGATTGCCACCCCAGTACCACTGCCTGAGTTCATTTCACACTATAGCCTTCTTGCCTGCACCCCCGCAGCGGCCTGCACCTGCTTTCTGGGTTCCATTTCTCTAAACCACAATCCATTCTTAACAGGCTTCCACACTGGTTATTCCAAACCTCAAATCTGGTAGTTTTCTTCCTGTGGGGTGTCCCCTGAGCTCAACTTGTATATATGTCTAGTGTGCTTGATCATCAGTCTACCAGGCAGCTCAAGCTGTGTGCCCTTTACAACATGTACAAAAATACGCTCACAACGAATCTAAGATCTAAATGTAAGAGCTCAAACTATAAAACTCTTAGAAAACAGAGAAATAGTGCTGAGTAGGTATAAGGCACTGATTTCTTGGTGATGGCATCAAAAGCACAGCCTGAAGAGAACAACAGATGAATCAGATGATGTTAAAATTTAAAACTTCTGTGCATCAGAGAACAGAGTCCAAAGAGTGAATGCAACCCACAGAATGAAAGAAAGCATTTGTAGCCCATCTGTCTCACAAAGTGTTAATAACCAGAATATATAAGGAACTACAGTACACACACACGCACTCACACACACACACGCACAGCAAAATATTGAGAAAAGACTTGAATAAATATTCACTACGTTTGAAGAAATGGACAAGAAGTGCTGAGCACGATGGCACATATTCATAATCACAGCTAGCAAAAGGCTGAGGTGTGAGGATCATCATGAGTTTGGAGCCAGCCTGACCTACATAGACTTTTCCTAAAAAGAAAGAAAAGGGGGGACTGGAACATTTAAGAGCACTTTCTGCTATTGTAGAAGCCCTGAGTTCAATTCCCAGCATCCACATCCAGTTCCAGAAGATCCAACTCCCTCTTCTGGCCTCCATGAGCACTGAAAACACTCATGCAGGTAAATTTAAAATAGTAAATAAAAATAAACAGGAAAGAAGAAATATGCATAAGTATGTGGACTAATCATAGAACACACAAAAGAATACTTCACAGTCATTATAATGGCTGCTATTTTTAAAAAGGTAGAAAGTAGTGTTTGTGAGGATTTAGAGAAATTGGAACCCTTGTGCGTTATAAATAGGAAGGTTAAATAGTGTAGCAGCTAAAAAAAATAATAGGGCAGCTCCTCAATGAATTAAAAATTGAATTACCATATGATCCAGCAATTTCACCTCTGGATATACTCAAAAAAATAATTGAAAGCTGGGATTCAAGGAGGATTTGTGGACACCTATGTTCATAGATATTCCCAATAGCCTAATGGTGGAGAGACACAGGAGCCAATCAACAGATGAATGGGTAAAGAAAACGCAACAATAGAACAATCACCTTAAAAGATAAGGAAATGAGTCGGTCACAGAGGGACAAACACTGCATGAGTCCACTCATATTGAATACCCAGGGCAGCCAAAATCATAATAAGAAAGGTAGAGTGCCAATTGCCATGAAATGGAGAGCAGAGGACTGGGAAGCTATTATTTGATTGCAATAGAATTTTAGTTTGTAGAAGTTTAAAAATGTTCTGGAGATGGGTGGTGGTGACCAATGTAGAAATTGTGAACACCCTTAATACGAATCGCCTGTAGTGTAAATAAAATATACATAAAATGGCAAAGGTTATGTTATATAAATTTTACCATAATTGAAACAAAACTAGAAGTATTCCCTAATAGGTCAGAGGATCTTGTTGTTATATAAAGGACATACATTGATACCAATATTATTTCATGTAACAGAGACCAAAATTTATAATTATATAGTTTATAATTATAGCTACATATTATAGTCTACAGTATAACTATATCATATAGTGTATAGAATATATACATATATAGTATGTTTATATGTATATATACATTATACAGTATGTTTATGTCTAAACCAGAAATGATTGAAAAAATGTTGTTTACTGACCAGGCCAAGTACAAATGTCAGGAAAAAAAATCAACTTGTTCTCAATGTAGTCCCTGTCCTGCTTTAGGGAAGTTGGAAAGCTGCCATTTTTTTTTCCTGAGACAGTGTCTCACTAAGTACCCCTGGCTAGTCTAGAATGTGCTATGTACAGAGCAGGTTGGTCTCAAACTCACAGAGATCTGCCTGCCTCTTCTGCCTGTAGTGGGACTAAAGGCATGCACTACCAAGCCAGGAATGTGGCTTTCTCTTCTGAGCAATCTACATAGGAAAGGGAGGGGACCGAGTGCCTACCCCTGAGTTTGAGTGCCAGCTGGCTCTTCCATGCCTTGGGCATCATTTCCCTCCGTGCCTTCAGGACAAATTGACTGTTGATAAACTTGCAGATGCTAGAAATGCTGAAGGTGACTTGAGGGTGAACGATGGAGAAATAGTCATCTAATCGAATCTTCTGGGCTTGGAGTCCTGGGATGAATTTCTGAATATTCACTCCAGCTTGCTTGACCGTCAGCTATTCAGAGGACACATGTCAGACTGGGGACAACACCAACTTCCCCCATCAACTTTCCCTTAGATATGACATTTTAGCTCTGCTTTGTGACTCAGTGGAGGCAAAGGGGGTCAATAATGTAATAAACATCACAGAAGATTTTTGTTTGGTTGTTTGTTTTTTACTCATTCAAAGCTAATATTGGGAAGAGAACACAATAGGCTGAGAGTGTTTAGAAGAAAATTCTGACTGACAAGAGATGTCAGGGCTCTCAACAGGGCCAAGAGTTCTCTCCTGGCTCTATAATAGATGTCTTTGTCTCCCTCAAGCCCTATCATAAACTAGCAAATTCTGAACCTGTCATCAGCCCATCAATGGGCTGGGAAGATGCTTCCCTTGTCTCTCCAGGGCTCACACAAGAGGATGTGAAACAGGGGTCCTTTGCACAACATAGCCAATATTAGCACAATGTCTGGGAGACTTAACTCTACAACCTCTGAGAATTTTGTCAGGCTACAGAAATCGGCCTCTTATATCATTAAATGTTTTGTTATCCTATCCCCAAAAGTTGAAAAGGAAAGTAGTATTTAAAGTAGATTAGAGAGGCTGGGGAAATGGCATAGTCATCAAGGACACTAGCTGCTCCTGAAGATGACCTGGGTTCAGTTCCCAGCACCTACACAGCAGCTAACAACCATTGGTAACTCCAACTCTAGGGCTTCTGATCCCCTCTTCTGGCCTCTGTGGGCATTGCACAACACAGGTGCATTTATATGCAAGCAGGCAAAACACTCATATACATAAAATATAAATCAAAAAAACTTTAAGTAGATTAGAATTTAAATTATTTTTATATTTTATTTTATTATTTCTTTTTATTTTATGTGTATGCATGCATTGCCTACATGTAGGTAAGTGCACCTGTGTTGTGCAATGCCCAAGGAGGACAGAAGAAGCTGTCAGATCCACTGGAACTGGAGCTATGGACAGTTGTTAGCTGCCATGTGGGTGCTGGGATTTGAACCCGGGTCTTCTGCAAGAACAACCAGTGATCTTAACCGCTGAGCCATCTCTCCAGCCCCCAGAATTTAAATTATTAATACTGTCAGTAATAATCATCCTTGTGGCATTGAGAAAGCACAGCATTTATTGATTTGGAATCCTGGGTTGCTACCATCTCACGGTATTTATTTATGTTTATGATACCATAACTTCTCTGTGGGCAATACTACCTCAAGTGGGTAAATTTCATAGACCCCCATATCTAGCAGTCAGCTGGCAGGTAATACATATATGGTATCTAATAAATATCAGAGAAAAGCATAACAGCTGAAAATATTTTAATGGATTTTTTTGACCAAACTCATTTTGCCTTTTAAATGAATTAAAAATCAATTCAGCTGACACCCTTATCATCTATGACTATATTTGTTTCTTTTTGTTTGGAGACAGGGTCTTTCACATGTAGCTCAGGCTGACCTCGAACTCAACTCCTGTTCCTGCTGCCTCAGCCTCCTGAGGGTTGGGATTACAGATGTGCACCATCACATCCAGTTGAAAGATATTTTATCCCAGGAAATTGATAGCAATCAAACTTAAGTGGTCATGCTCACACACTCCCATAGTACGTAGCAGGAGGTCACTACAGACCAAAATGTTTTTTTATTTATTTTTATTTTATGTGTATGTGTGCTTTGCTTGCTTGTATGTAAGTGCATCCATGTCGTACAATGCCTGCAGAGGCCAGAAGAGGGCATTGGATCTCTTGGAACTAGGAGCTATAGACAGTTAACCACCATGTAGGTGCTGGGAACTGAACCCCAATTCTCTGCAAAAGCAGCCAGTGCTCTTAACCACTGAGCCGTTATCTTTTCAGCCCCTGGAGTGAATTTTAAAGTCTCTTCCTCTGGCCTTTGTTTCTAATCATAACTCACCCATTCATTCACTCTTCAACTCCCCTGTTACATTTACCTTAAGAAGGTCCTGCAGTCCAGAAGATTCTACAACACAAGATGAAGTCAATGGCCCTCCAAACTAAAGTCTCCTCTCACAAGCCCTGTGAACTTACAGACTTAAGTCCCCACCTGCCATAATGACTGTAAATCAGGCCTCCCCTCCCCCAGTTATTGCCAACCCCTGGCTCCAGAAGGGGAGGGCCTCTCACTGTTTCATCAAAGACAATGTGGAAGGGGAAAGCATTGCAGAATGTCTTCTCTTCGATCCACAGTCTCTCAGGATAGATGGGCTGGAAAGTGTCCCTGAGGTACCCTGGAGAGAGAGGGGTGGGGGTGGGGGCTCTAATGAGTGGCAACTCCTGCTGTGGCCCTCACACAGCCGTGCTTGAGACAGGGATAGAATCTTAAGTGTGTCACAGGCAAAGTGCGATCCCGGTTCTTTAGCACGGGCCCCTTCAGCGTCTCCAGATGGCCATGGCAATTCTTCTTCCAAATTAAAACAAACAGAAAACTTGCGACCAGGTTGAGAAGCCCTCCTGCCCCCTGCCAAGTTTCTGCCCACTGCTGAAGAGTTTCAGGGCCAATTGAGTATGCCTCACCACGAAAACAGAGTAAGCATTGTAGCGGTGACAGGCAGACAATGAGCCAGCAAAGGAGAGCGTGCACACCCGGCCTGGCAGCAGGGACGTTTGCCATGGAGCTTTTTAGACTGACAGTTTGGGGTGGCACGTGAAAATTTAACCAACAGTCTTATTTGGCAGGGAGTGCAGATTCGAAATAGAGCCTTTTTGACATGAAAATCTCCTAGACAAAGGATGTCAACTGTGTGTTTGACTCATTTGCCACAGCTTGAAGGACTCAGAATGCAGCTCTTTGAGCACTGCGGACCTTCTCCCAGATGCCCGTGATTTGACCCACCGAGCCATTACTAGGAGCTTCTAGCTCCCTTCTTCAGTAGGTCACAGTCCTAATTCAGACTCAGGTGTTAGGTCCTGGCTGTCAGACCAGCTCATGCCCAAAGAACCACTGCAGAGAGCTTATTACCTTCATTTTGCAAATGGAAAGATGGAAGACGTTGTCCAATGTTACAGCTTCTCAGGGACAGAGCCAGAAATCTGCTTTCTTGGCCCTTGTCCTGCTGTCCTTTACACTACTGGCTGGCCATGGTTCGTACCCACAGATTTCCAGTCTGGTAATGCATCCCAATCAAGAAGGCCTAATCCAGAAGAGCTCAGTCTGCCTGCACCCATCCTCCTCATCACAGTCCCAACAGGAACCCATTCCAAGTCAGGACTTGCCCTCATCATGGGAGATACAATGTCTCTATGTTACCCAGCACACATCTACTTTTTTTTTAAGAGCTGGTGATGGAGAGTCAGAATCTGATTTTTCTTTTTTGTTTTTTGGTTTTTTTTTTTTAGTCTTTTTGGGACAGGGTCTCTCTGTAACCCTAGCTGACCTGGAACTTGCTATGTAGACCAGGCTGGCCTTGAACTCACAAAGATCCACCTGCCTCTGCCTTCCAAGTGCTGGGATTAAAAGCGTGCACCACCATGCTAGGCTAGAATCTGGTTTTTAAAATTAAAGATCATAGCTACCAAATCCAAGCTGTACAGAAATCGGAGGTATCAAAATTGTAGGGGGGTTTGTCCTATTTGTGTACAGGGATTGCCTCTTCTGAAAAACAGGCAGCCTTCTGATTTGAGAGCTGGGAGAATGGCCAACTCACCTTTTCCAAAGGGGAGTATCCCCCTCACAACCTCCCAGTGGGATTTCTCCCCAGGGCAAATAGAGGTGCTCAAATATTTCTCCTTCATCCTTGGAAAAGTTGCCTGGAGAGCCTGCAGAGGGCAGGGGGAGAAACACAGGTACCTGGTCACAGGAATGGAAAGGAGCAAGCCCTGCCTGCTCACCTGGGCCCATCTTTATACATTGAGAACATCTGTGACCAGAGGACAGTGTGAGGGTTTGCAAGGTCAGTTCTCTCAAGAGCTTAGGATGCCCCAGAGTTCTAATCTAGTTAATCCTCCCACTGTTTCTCTAGTAAAGGCAGCAAGAAATTTTTACAAAATCTTAAGGGAATGCACAGAGGAATTCTTAAGGGAAATCCATTGTAAACACACTAAGGATCATGTTTTCCTAAGTGTTATTATGGCACTGTATCCCGAGATTAAAAATTCAAATTATGGAGCAGGTGTATGGGAAGATGTTCACCGTGGTCTTGTTTACAGTAACAAAATATTTGTAGGTAATGAAAATGCACAGCTGGGGGCTAGTTAAGTATGATAGGAAGAGACAGGAACAATGTCTTTAAAAAATTTTTTTTTAATTTTTTTTTTATGTGTATGAGTGTTATGCCTGCATGTATGTAAGTGCACTCATGTCAGAGGACAGAAGAGGGTATCAGATCCCCTGGAACTGGAGTTACAGGTGGTTGTTAGCTGCCATGTGGGCACTGGGATTTGCATTCAAATCTTCTGCAAGAACAGTTCTCTTAACCATGAACCATCTCTCCAGCCCTATGAACAGTCTCGAGAAAGGAAATAACTCTTCTTAGGCAATAAGGGCAGGGCCCTTAGTTCAGCAGTCAAGGGCATTTGCTGTTCTTGGAAAGAACATGAGTTGGGTTCCCAGCACCTACACAGTAGCTTACAACCATCTGTAACCCCAGCTCCAAGTGATCGGATGCCCTCTTCTGGCCTTTGTGGATACTACATAGATGTGGTATACGTGCAGGCAAAACACTCTCACATAAAATAAAAATAAATAAAATCTTTTTTTAAAAAAGACAGGGTCTCACTCTTTAGCCCAGGCTGGCCAAAAACTGATGGCAATCCTCCTGCTTCAGTCTCCTAAGTGAACTAAAAGCATAAGTTGCCATGTCCAGCTCTGACATTTTTGAAGGTGAACAGTTTTCATGCTAAGGTATATTCCAGACAGTCTATATTGCATGTTGAGTTAACTTTAATTTTGAATTCTCAATGGAGTGATTTTTACCCATCTCTACCCTGTAGACACTGGCAATGCCTGGAGACATTTTTAATTGCTACAACTAAGGGGGGCAGAGTTCTATTTTCACAGAATAGGTAGATGCCTGGGGTGTGGTGAGGGATCCGATAGCAAAAAGTATAGCCAATCACAACCAAGAATCATCTGGTCCACTGTCAGTAATGCCAGGCTTGGGCAAGCTTGCCTTAAACTTTACTATTAAGGTTGCGTTGTGTGCACAGAATGTTCCAGATAAGTAACCCCCCTTGGGGGAACTGTTTTCTGAAGACAGCATGCCCTTTACCTCTTGGTCTCTCTGGGTGTCCTGATGGTCTTGTAACCTGTTTGACCTTGTACTCTTTGTCTGCCTGCAAGCTTTCTGCACAACCAAAAACACAACGTGTTCCTTTTTCCCCATCTTCTCCACTTCTTCATTCATGTCAAGGATATTCATGACCACATCAATGTCAAAGAAGTCCTTGGCCACAGCCTCAATGATACCTGCACAGAAGTACACCCAGGGGTAAGCAAGGGCAGAAAGCAGTGTGTTGGCAAAAATCACTAAAATGCCCAGTTGAACAACCTCTGATGAATTTTCTCAGCTCACCAAGCCCATGCCCTGCTTCAAGATAGATATCCTATGACAGATTAAGGAGGAGAAAGAGTACACAGAGTTTAAGGTGTATATGTGAATACTGAATATGTCCCTGCAATTGTAATTTCTACTTTAACATCTGTATCAGTTACTTTTCTGCTGCTATGATAAGACACTATGACCAAGGCAACTTATGAAAGGAAGGGTTTATTAGGCTTACAGTTTCAGAGGGTAAGAGTCCATCAAGGAAGGGAGACATGGTGGCAGAGGTGGCCAGAATAGAACGCTGAGCATTCACATCTTCAAGCAGGCACAGGAAGCAGAGAGAGCCAGACAGAAAGTAGGCAAGCTACATAGTCTCAAAGCCCACTCCCACTGATGTGCTTCCTCCAGCATGGCCACGCCTCCTAAATGTTCCATGACCCTCCCCAAACAGCTCCATGAACTGGGGACCAAGTATCTAAAATTTTGGAGCCTATGGGGGACAGTCTCAAATTACCACATCTATTTATGTTTTTTTTATTCCAGGAAGATATTTAACTCATGAAATAAAATATAAAAATAAAAGAAGCAAAATTCAGTTGTAAAAGTATTAAAGATCATGTTTCAAAAGTGTTATTCTGGGACACTATCTCAGGGTTAAAATGCAAAATATGGAGAAGCCACACATGGAAGAGGCTCACTAACGTATTGTTCATATTGTAACCATGGAACAATGCAACAGCAAGTGGCCAGTTAAAATAATTATAACATTAAATATCATTCAACTTTTTGAGATAGGATTTCAGGGGCCGGAGATGTGCCTTCATGAAGTATTTGCAGAGACTGAAGGGTGCACTGGGTTCAATCTCCATCACCCAAGCAAAACAAGAAAAACAGTCTAAATTTTGTCCTAAGACATGGTTTTAAAGACCATGTGAAATCATGAATGCAAGATTCTTCTACAATGCTATATTTTTTTAAAAAGAGCATATATAAAATCTCTATAGAAATGTCATAAGTGTGTAAACATCCACGTAAAGTGTTACAAATCATTCCCTCTTTTGGCCTTCTGGAAATTATTCCAAAAGCTGCAGATCCTCACAGCTGGGCTGTGGCCAGACTGCGGGAAGCTTTCCACATTCCCCAAGCCCTCAGAGCTCTGAGATGGGCTAATGCATTTCCTACCTGGTACGATGTGGCACAGACCTCTTCTATCAGAGTAGTAATGCAGAAGCATCTCCCTGTTGGCTCCTCTCTCCACACGAAAGGATGGTGCATTCATCTCCTGATTAAAAGACACAGCATGTTTCCCCAAGGAACATAAATTGTCATGATTTTTAATAGACTAACTGTGACCTGTTTAAAATTAATTGGTTTAGGTTAGCATACAAAATCCTGAGCTCCAACAAGGCATCGCCACATATAAGTGTCATTATTCTTTGTTCTCACTTGTTCCCCTCCCAGACTGCCCCACCCCCAGCCCCTCCCGCTGGCTCTTTCCCAGTTAGAAGCTTCTGGTTTCTTACTTCATGTAGTCCATTACCCTGTCTACTTCCTACATCCCTTAAGATCTCTTGCTCTCCTCTCATGATCCCCTTTCTATGTTGTGACCGCAACACACACATAAGCATGCACACACATATACATATGTGCACACATATACATAATTTTAAATCAAGATTCTGCATATGAGAAAAAACATGCTATTTGTCTTTCTGAGTCTGGCTTATTTTGCTTAACTGATCTCTAACTGTATCCATTTTCCTGCCATTGTCATGATTTCATTTTTCTTTAGAGCTGCATAAAACTCCGCTGTGTGTATGTACCACATTTCCTTTATCCATTCATCTGTTAATGGACATCTAGGCTGGTTCCATTTCTTGGCTATTGTGAATAGTGCAGCAATAAACATGGATGTATAAGAATCTCTCTAGTGTGTTGGCTTAAAGTCCTTTGAGTATATATCCAAGAATAGCATAGCTAAGTCAGAAATTAGTATTTTTGAAATATTTTGTTTATTATTTTTATTTTTTATGTGTATGAGTGTATTGCCTGCATGTAGTTGAGTGCACCCATGCCGTGCAATGCTGAGAAGGTCAGAAGAGAACTTCAGATTCCCCTTGAACTGGAGTTAAGGACGGTTCGTAGCCACCATGTGGGTGCTGGGAATTGAACCCAGGTCCTCTGCAAGAGCAGTCAGTGCTCTTAACCACTGAGCCATCTCTTCAGCCCCAGAAATTAGTATTTTAAGGCTTTGTGAAGCAAGGGTGCTTGTCCATTACAGCACATAGAACTATGTCCCCCTCATCTCTCCATCCACTCAACACCATGCTTTCAGCTCCTCTGTGTAAGGAAGCTTGCACTTCCCCTAAACAACTCTGTATGGCAATTATCACCCCATTTTAAAGAGGAGGCAATTGAGGCTAAGGGAAGTTAAAGTGAGATGAATGTTAGAACCCTAGCTGAGACCCCATGAGCCTTAGCACCAGGCTGTGTTGCTTCTACGCACCCGAAAAAGGTCAGATGCTGCAGACCTTCATGAGTCTCTGCTACGCTTGGTCTGTGACCAGGTACTACGAGCATTTCACTTGCAGCAAGATCAGCAGCTGGGAGGACCTTGCAAGTGGAAGGAATCAACTCATTTTTGTACTGGGAGATTGGTTCTATCTGTGATATCAGGTTACACATTTGGAGAATAGAATCTTCAAGAACATACCAGAAGAAATCTGTGTCTTGAAATGAGCATATCATGATAGAAGAGAGATTTGTGAGTTAAGGGTGGATGGGTTTTCTCAGAGAGCAAGCAGGGAGTCCCCACTCAGCAGCAGCTCAGCACCCTGAACACAGAGCTTTGAGCTGAGGTGGAGGGGTCCACTGCTCTTCATGATGGAGGACTGGTAGTGAAATGGGTTTCTTTTAAAATTTCAAATATTCATTTTATATTTCCAAAAGTATGTTAGTGGACAGAAGTGTACATATATGTGCTTACATATCTTTTGTGGTATATATGTGTGTGTGTTTTGTCTATGTTGGTATGTATATGTATTTACATCTCTTTGCTCTGTGTGTGTGTGTGTGTGTGTGTGTGTGTGCTGTATATGTGGTATATGTGTGTGCCTATGTATGTAGAGGAACGTGCACAACCATGTGAACACTGCAGAGGGCAGAGAAATGTGTCTAATGTCTATATCATTCTGTACCTTATTTCCTTAAGACAGCGTCTCTCACTGAACTCCTGATTCACTGTTTCTGGCTAGGTGGACTGGCCAAAGAGCTCCTGGTCACCTCCTAGTGTTGGGGTTACAGGCACACACAGCCAGCATGGCTTTTATTTAATGTGGGTGCAAGACATTTGAACTCGGGTCCTCATGCTTGCAGAGCAAGCTCTCTTACCCACTGAGCCACCTATCCAGCCCCAGTGTTTACAACCTGACTAACTTAAAGAGAATTTGATGAAGCATATATAAAAATTTAATAAAAGAAGAAATTACAAGTTAGTTTTCTGCAAGAACAAGCAGTGTTCTTAGCTGCTGAGAAGACCTGGGTTCGAATCCCAGCACCCACACGGCAGCTAACAACTGTCCATAACTCCAGTTCCAGGGGATCCAATGGTCTCTTTTGTCCTCCACGGGTATTGCACGACATGGGTGCACTTACCTACATGCAGGTAATACACGCATACACATAAAATAAAAATAATAATTTTTTTTAAAAAGTTAATTTTAAAACCATATTCAAATTTTGCCTGGTGACAGGAAAATAATGGAGGTCGCCAGGTTCCAGCCTCTGCTCTGCCTGGACCCTGCCCTCCCAAGCCACACAGCTTCCAGAAACACTGTAGAAGTTCGTGATTCGAGTCCTAATCAGTGTCTCCAACTCTACAAATGATATTTAAGTTTTACTTTTGTGTTTTGACTAAAATAGGATTTTTCTAAAATGTGTAGAATTAAGACAAAGAACCTGCAGAATGGAGCATGGTTTCCAGGGACGGAAAGATGGGCTTGGACTCTCACCCAGTCACCACAGCCCAAGTGATGTGGGTCAGTTCCTTGGCCTTTCTGAGCCTCAGTTTTCTCATCTGTACAGTGGGCTGATAAGAACAGCAGATCTTAGGAGTGTTAAGAGTGTTATAAATTACATACCACAACTTATGCCACATAAATAGCAGTCAATAAAAGTCAACTAAAAAATAACAAGATTGGACCAGGTACATGTGAGACTGAGTCACAAAGATTACAAGGTCAAGCCCACTCTGGGCTACATAGCAGGAACTTATCTCAAAAACAAAACAAAAACGCAGTGAAACAACAACAAAAACAAGCTTAAAAGCATAGTGATAACCAGGAATGCATGGTTTAAGGAAATCAGCATGATTTTATTTTTTACTAAAGAGATAAACTTTAATATTGTAATGTTGTAAAACTGTAATAGTCTAAAGTACTACACAGTTATCAAGTACCACAATATATGTTTTATCCCAAATTGTATGTCATAACACTTAGAAATATGTTATTTACCTTACTATATGGAACATGCCTTCACACATCCTCTTCCTAGAGTGGTTTATTCTTATTGCTTCTCTGGCAATATGATTTTGGCATATGGAGGGGAGGGGAGTGTTTGGCTTTCAGAGGAAGGGCAGAAGGACTGAATATAAAAATAATGGACTTGGGCTGGAGAGATGGCTCCATGGTCAAGAGTGCTTATTGTGCAATCATGAGAAATGGAGTTCAGGTCCCAGCACCCACATAATAGGCCAGGGATCTCACACATACTAGTAACCCCAGCTCCATGAAAGACAGAGACAGCTGGGGCTTGCTGGCTTCTAGCCTCACCAAAAAACATGAGCCCTGGGTGCAGAGAGAGACCCTGTCTCAAAGGAATTGGCAGGGAGTGACAGAGGAGGACATCTGGCATCTTCTTCTGGCCTCCACTGGTGTGCACAGGCTCATGCACCTGCCCCCACATGTGCATATATGCATAAGACACATACAAACAAATACACATAGATAAATGAATAAATGTTTTTAAAAATGAACTGGGTACTTAAGAACCACGATTTCTTTCACTTTTATTCCTAAGGGTGATAGTAATAGGCTGACACATAAAAAGATATCCCATAATAAAATGAAGCTGATGATTAAGTAGAAGAATATTCATACATCTCTGGAACTGTGACTCCATATATTGGTCAAATTTCAGATGAAAGATATGGTATTTTAAAAATATTGGTGCTGGGCCTGGAGAGATGGCTCAGTGGTTAAGAGCATTGTCTGCTCTTGTGAAGGACCTGCCTTCAGCTCCCAGCACCTACATGGCAGCTAACAACTGTCTGTAACTCCAGTTCCAGGGGTCCGACACCCTCTTCTGGCCTCTGCAGGCATTGCATGAATGGGTGCACCTACATACATGCAGACAAGACACTCAAACAAAATAAATTATTTTTTAAAATAGTTCCATTTATTGGAGGATTCTAACTGTATTTTTTCATATCCTCTTTATTGTGTTTTGGTGAAGAAATGAGACAAGAAGTTGTCATGTAAATTCTTGTAATTTTAAAACTTGCCATAATGAACAAAGAAAAAAAGTGGAGAAGAGAAGTTACTATTTCTGAACGCCTTTTCTGGGCCTATTACAGTGCTACAGACCCTTCTGTTACTTTCAGTCCATGCATCACAGTGAGGTGGATTATTTGGCTCCTTCTTTTGTCTGTGTATCCAAGGCCTTAAAAACTGCTTCATACACAGTAGGTGCTCAAAAAATATCTAGGGATTGGGTAGATGACTCAATGGGCAAAACACTTGCCATGCAAGTACGAGGACCTGAGTTTAAGTCCCCAGACCACTTAAAGCCAGGCATGGTGTTGCACATCTGTAAGCTCAGCATCCCTACAACAAGATGGGATAGGGACAAGGCAGTCCCCAGAAGTTTCAGGTCCAGCCAGCTTGGTGTATGCAGCAAACAAGAGGCCTTGGGTCAAACAAGGTGGGAAGTGAGGACTGACACCCAGGTTGCTCTCTGACCTCCATGGGTGTGCAGTGGCACACAGGAACACACACTCCTTTCTTCCTGTCCTCAAGAATTACACAGGCTAACAACAGAACAGGCTCAAGAACCCGCTCTATTTGAAGGTGATTAGGGTTTTTAAGCCTCCAAGTCCTCATGTGCAAAGTGAAAAAAATGCTTTTCTCTTTTTACATAATAATAATCGAGTATACTTTAACATACATGGTCCCACCCTGCCAGGGTGCTTATGAACACAAAATAGTGTTTATAAAAGAAATAGTGAGGCCGGGTGAGGTGGCACACGCCTTTAATCCCAGCACTCGGGAGGCAGAGGCAGGTGGATCTCTGTGAGTTCAAGGCCAGCCTGGTCTACATAGTGAGTTCCAGGACAGCTGGGGCCACAGGGAGACCTTGTCTCAAAAAGACCAAAAAAAAAAAAAAAAAAAAAGAAATAGTGAAGAAGGAGCTTGATAAGTTATACAAGGCCCTAAAAATTAATAAACTATTATTATGCTACGGATGAATACCACATCATCACAATGAAATGTTTTTATGTCTAAAAGGAGAGTCTAGGCATCTGAATTTCTAATAATTTCTACAAAGAAAACAAGCAAGGCACGAACTCCAGAAGGGAAATTTGTTTCTTAACGCCTTGGTCAGTCACCCCATGGGTCCATCATTGTTGTACAGCTTCCTGTTCTGATTCTTGGCCCTGTCAAGTCTTCTCTTTCTGAGATTGAACAGCTTGAATCTGGTTGCATAAGCTATTTATCAGCTCCACCCAGGCTAAGAGAACTGGGGAGAGATTTCAGAAATCCATTGTAGCCTGTTCCCCAGCCTTTGCTCCCATTGTGATGGGCACCCCAGATTCATTCCAAGCCCACATCTGCCCTGTGGAAGAGGCCATCCCTCACCGAAAGGGTCTCTTTGACAGCCAGTTTAAGGAAGGCAGCAGGTATTTACCTTTCTTTTTTCCACCAGAGAACTCCAGGGTCCACAGTCACCAGAAACCAAAAATTCTATGGCTTGACTGTAGAGATTCCATTCCCCTGTGCCTGCTCCTCTGTTGGGGAGGCTGGAGAGGGCTTTTGCACCTCTCAGGACCAGATGGCCTTACCTGGTAAGACAGAGCCAGATAACTGTGGAGGGCATCTAGGTTTTCAATAAACTCTGTGAGGTTTCCTCCCAGTGTCCGCAGCATCCTATCATAGCCGGACCTCTTACAGAAGTTGAAGAAGTACTCTCCAAAGAGTTTCAGAATGGCTTCCATAGATACATCTGCAGAAAACAAACCCCAGAAAGAGCCCTGGAAGGTGTGTTCTCCCTTGGGTGGTCTTCATTCATTTTCAAAGCGTTCATTTCCTGCTGTTGTGAAACTTACTGAGCCACTGTCTAATCCTTCACCTTCATCATCAGTGACATGTTACAAGGCATCATAAACAGCCCAGGACAGCCTGGGTTAACCACGGGACTCTCCCGAGCTCATTTGCTCTTTCCCATGGCTTCTAGGACAAGTATTTCCAAAAGAAGGCTGTAGAGATATTGTATTCCTTTGACCACTGATCCTCTGTCCAGACCCAGGTTAACGGTGATCTCTCTACCACCTCACACATCTTCAAACCAGCAGCCTAATATGGAATCAAAGGCTGTCTCTGAGAAATAACAAACACTGCAATAAAAAAAAAAATTCTTCTCCAATTTACCGAAATGACCAAAGTGGCAGAAGGCCTATGGTGTACTCCCCCTTCTCTCTCAGCCTCACCAGGCCCCAATCTCCCTTCAAAACACAATTTTCATATCACATTCCCCATGCGGATATCCCAGATCACACTGACATGCTCCCCAACTGTTGCATTTCTTTCTTCTTATCAATTCTGGTGGGTCACAACTGTGTGCCTGTTTTTTGAGGTAGGCACAAAGCAGGTGCTTGGTGAACTCCTGAGGTAGATCTGCAGCATGAGGTGGGGGTACGGCCTACATCCCAATTCCCCACATGTGTGGTTGGGAGGGAACATTTTTTCAAGGGTAGTCTGTAGTATTTTTTGTAATGTTCTTGAATCAGTTATTCTCAGAGTATGATAAAATCTTGGGAGTAGATGGTGCTATTAACATGCCCCTTTTTGTCTAGATGTGTCCTTGGAAGCTGAGGCAGAGGCCAGACTTGCTGCCATAACTCTGACTAAACTCCATGCCCTCTGCACCGCATCCCACAAAAGGTGATGGCTGCTCTCGCTGTCACTGTGGGCACAAGAGGTAGACCTCAATTCATGCTATCAGCCTGGAGCCCTATGACAAAATTCTCTTATTTCTGCTACAGTCCTGACTCCCGGTGGGGCTAGAAAAAGTCTGGGACCCTTGGCTCTCTGGGCCCTGCATCCCTGAAGGACTGTCTGTGCTCCCGCTGGATCATGCTACTGTACACCGCTGAGTCCAATAGAGTGGCAGAGTCAACACGGCAGTCCTCGCTTCCCAGACTGTTGGAGGTCGAGGCAGGTGGATCACAAACCTGGGGCTTGTTTGTGCTACAGAGAGCTCAAAAGTAGCCAGGACAAATTAGTGAGACGCTGTCTCAAAAGAGAAAGTAAAAAGAGTGCTTGGGGATACAGCTCGGTTGTGGGATGGTTACCTAACACCCATGAAATTGTAGGCTCAGTCCTCTCTTTCTCACAAACACACACACACACACACACACACACACACACACACATTTACTCATGCATAACTTAGGTCAGAATAGCAGGTTTCCTGTAGCTCCCTGTCCACAGCCAGACCCCAGACAGAAAACTTTTCTGGAATCTGAGCAGGACATAGTACCAACTGAGCTGGTCTTGTCTAGTCAGAGGTAAGTTATACTCCAGTTGGATGAAAGGGTGAGAGCCATGGCCGACATTAATCACATTTTTCATGCACTTGCTCACTTGTGTCCCTCCTACCTGGCAGTAGGCTTGTCCATGCCAGAATTCAAGAGCCACCTGCTCGCCCCTAGGTAACTGAAATAAATCCTGCTCAGGTCTTTCCTGACCCTTGGGAGTTCCTGGGAGGATTTCTGGGAAGTATGTAGACAGAGGTGGAGCTCCTGCTTCAGCTGCCACCCACCTCACACCTCCTTTCCACAGGAATCCGGCTCCTTCCAGCTAAGACAAAACAGCTGCACTTTGAAGCCTGCAGGCTGGAGCTTTGCACAGGTGCATCCTGTTACCTGCAGGAAATGCACAGGTCTGTTCTTTCTCCCAAGAAACTGTGCTGTCAGCAAAGTTGAACTTGGTTAACAGTAACAGCCTTGTGTAGAAAGATCGCCTACTCAACTTTGCTTAATGCTGAAAACTTGGGGGGAAATCCATGGTGTTGCCTATTTCGGGTCTAGTTATTTTGTCTCTGAGTGCCTGGCACTGTTAGCAGGAAAGGACACCTGGCAAAGGCTAACTTCCTTAAACCGCAGCCTAGTCTTGGGTGGGAGTTACCATCTGTTCTGGACCTTAACTGCATCTGGGATTCTTAGTTCAGAATGTCTAACAGAGGACAAAGGCCTCCTGTTAAAATCAACACCTGTTTTACTCTTTTATACAGTCTCATCGCTGTGAATTTAGGATTCTGAGAGTTCTCTAAGTCACAGGGGACCAGAAACATATGGAAAGTGGGAAGAAAAGGCAAAAGTTCCCCAAACACAAGTCTGCTTTAAAATGTTATTTACTAGCGCAAAGGAAAATCTGTAGTGTGTGGTAAGAGGGAAACAAAAAGGTAGGTGTCTCTCTGCGTATCTGCACAAAGTTTACTGGCAGCAGGTTAAACCAGAGACTTTTGGGATTGGTTTTCTATGGGACCTTGGTGGGAATGGGGTGGAAAGAGAAGAACTATGTGGGGTGGGGAACTAATGTTTCTAAGCAGAACTTTGTGAAGAACTCTGGCATTAAGAATCATGTTAGTGTTTCATGTGCTTAGGAGGAATAAGGACAGAGGAGAGCCTGAGACAGAAGATGAAACTAAATTAACATTCAAAGAGCAAGCTCAGCTACTCAGGAGGCTGAGGCAGGAGGATCATAAGTTTAAGCCCTGCCTGGTATACAGAGCTAGTTCAAACTACCCCAGGCAACTTAGTGAGACCTTGTCACAAAATAAAAAGAGAGGGCTGGAGATATAGTTCAACAGCAGAGCAGTTTCTAACAGGTGTGATGATCTAGGTTTAATCCCTAATATTGACGGGGACAGGGGATGGGAGAAGGGAGATGGAGATAGAAACACACACAAAGAGAGAGAAGCACAAAGAAATTGTCAGAATAATTTCAACAGAAATTTTTGGATAACATAATTACCCAGGGGAAAAAAAATAACCCACATAGACTGGAGAGATGGCTCAATAGATAAGAGAACAGACTGCTCTTGAAGAAGACCTGAGTTCCAATGCCAACACCCATGTAAAAAGCTGGGTGTGGTCCTATGTGCATCTGTAATCCAAGCACTGGGGAGGGGGTTCCGAGATACGAGCATCACTGGGACTTGCTGGCCCTCAGCTTAGCTCCAGGTTCACTATGAGACCCGGTCTCAAAAGAAGAAGGCATGGGTAGGTGAGATGGTTCAGTGAGTAAAGGTGCTTGCCAACATGCCTGACCATGCAATCCCCAGGACCTACATGGTAAGGGAGGAAAACAGATTCCCCCAAATTGTCCTCTGATACACAAGCCATGGCATATGCAAATAATATAAATTAATATAAAAATACATAATAAGAAGAAAATGATAGAGCAGGATGCCCTTACATTTACCACATACACATCCAACTTCATGGGCTCCTACTGCATGGTATAAATAAGTACCCTTTCTTGATGGACCCACAGCAAAGGGCATTTGGGACGTCATAGTCACACACACACACACACACACACACACACACACACACACACACCACAGATAAATATAGCATAAGACCATGAAATCCATCACAGGATAGATAAATGATTGATTTATAGGTGAGTGATAGATAAATAAATACATAGATAGATGTATTTATCTATCTACCATAGATAGATAAATACATAGATGCATAGCTAGATACATAGATGGATGATAGGGGACAGACAGATAGATGATAGATTAGCAGGTGATAGGTAGCTGGATATTATATAGATAGATGGATGATAGATAGATGATATGTAGATAGGTATATGCATGCCCACTTGGAGGGCCTGACAGGTGACACTGAGTTCACCTAGTATCCCATGGTGGATTTTAGATGCCATCCGCTACTAAACAGAACCAGAGCTCCTAAGAGAAACAGAATATTCTAGGATTGGGGCAAGGACGGCACAAATTGAATCTGCCATACCAGAAAGAAGCGTTAAAAGTGATGGCGATGTCAGAACAGTTCCAGAGGACTTCCACTCACTAGGTCTTGAATTTGAACATCAACATAAATAATTAAAGGAGTGCAATCTGTTTTTAAAAATAACAATCAAGACCACATTGACATAAATAAATAAGTAGGAAAGAAAGGAAAATTGCCCTCATGGAAGTCTAAATGACAAATGTAAAGGGACTAATATGCTTAGACAATCACTGTCTTTCTTAAGTATTAATTCAGATAAGAATTTCAGAGTGACATAGCATCAATGATGACTAAATTCACACGAGAGAGTTTGAGAAGCAATAAGATGATGTGCATGGTTTGAAAGTAGCTTCTCACAAGATACTAATTACAAAGAGAAAGATGGTAGCTTCAGAGTGGAAAAGTCTGGCAGACTCCAGCTTCACCAAGGGAACAGAGTTCATATCACCAACAGTGGGAAAACTGGGCACCCACCACCTGTTAGAATAATGGGAAGGACAAGAGATCCCTTCTGAAGTTTTCCTGCCAGGAAAGTGTCACCTGCATTATGTCACAAAGAACAATTAATGATCCTAAATCAAGAGACATGCCACAGCCAGGTATGGTGCTGTATGCCTTTAATCCCAGGACTCTGGAGGGAAAGATAGGCAGATCTCTATGAGATCCAGTCCAACCTGGTCTACATAGCAAGTTCCTGGCCATCTGGGGCCATAGAGGGACACAGTCTTAAAATACCCAAAGGAGAGCAGGGAGGAGAAAGAGAAAGAGAAAAAGAGAGGGAAGGAGAAAGAAAGAGAGAGAGTTAAGTTGGGCAGGAGCAACAAGGGGAGGTATGGTTAAAGGAGGGATCTAAATACCATCAAATTATATTGTATGAAAATCACAAAAATTCAACTAAAAATGGTAATAAGGAATAAAACCATTGTTAAAAGAGGGAGAATTGTTGAGCTTAGACTAG